CCGCGGCACGGGCGCCGCCCCCGGCGGGAGGCGTCAGGGGCCGCGCGGCGGCGGCCGTTGGCGTGGCCTAGATCTATCGAGTTATTGAAACAAGATTAAAAATCTGCTTCAAGAAGGTGTTCAGGGAGTACATGAATCGTGCCTGGGTCATCTCTCATGTTCAGTATGTGTTACAAGTCCATCTGTAAATACAAAGAGTTTCATTAAACTCTGGAACAGCCCAAAATACTGAGCAGAACTCCCTCACCTTCCCTGTCCAAAATCCAGAGAGGCAGAATTCTGGAAAATATACTTGAAGGAATGATCATTAGCAGGAAGCTGAATTAGACTGTCAAAAGCCTTTCTGTCCACTTCTCCGTCATCGTCTTTGTGTTACGTTTACTTGGCTCTTACAGCCCATGTCAGTCACTGTACTAAGGCTGTTATGATGTTATATTGTTCCCTATTCCAGTCTGTATCTCTATCAGCTTCCCTTCTCCTCGCCTGACCAGTTCCACATATGTATCTTTTCCTTCCCACTAGAATTCTAAAGGACTTGTGGTTTCACAATAATAAAGAGCCATCCAAATTCAGAAATTGGAGGGGAAAAAAAAAAGGCCAGCTTAATTGTGCACTGTAGTTTAGTTTGACCAGTTTAAGTTTTGGTTAGCAGTCATTTTGCTTAGTTCCCAGGAAAAAAAAAAAAAAAAAAAAACAAGAGAAGGGTCAGAGGAGAAGTCTAACTGAATATAAACACACTGTTAAGTATGTCAGGGTTGGCTTGTCTTCAACTGACAAGACTAGTATGAAATGGAATGCTATGACTTTTTGTATACGGAAATGATATTTTTGCACTACTCTTCTAATCCAGTCTTCATTAGAGAGTTGTTTCACTGACATTTGAAGGAAATTTTATAATACTTTTGTATGCCCTTTCTTAAGTAGTAAAAGTAATTACCCTAGGCCTAGCAAAACTATTTTACCATTACTCAGAAGAGATCTCAAGGTGGGCCTTATCACAGAATGCACTAAGTTTTGTCACCTGCATTTCTAACACCTATCAGAAAAAGGTATATCTTGGACTTTGTCTTATGACTTGCTCGCACAAAATAACAGCAAAAATACTGAGGTAATACCTCATTTTAACACCTCAAATTTTCCTCAGAAAAGTGAGAGAAAAAATAAAAGATAATGAATAAAACTCATCCAACCTACATAAAAACCTCCTGTTCTCTCTTGTCAGGTGTAGACTTGCTTCAAAAAACATCCAAACGTAAGAGCACCATCTTTGTTCAAGACATAAGGATTCTGAATTCCCATTTATCTGCTGCAAAACAATATTCTCTATAGAAAGAATGTTCTCTATAGAGAAGATCTCTGCAGAGAAGATCTCTATAGAAGCTACCACTTTATCTAAAGGAATTTTTGTTCTTTTTTTTGTGTGTGTGTGATTCTGAAGTTTAAATTGCAACCCAGCTGATAGGATGAAAGAGAAGATGAGGAATGTACAATAATACTCATCAATACCTACTGGAAATATATCTCTCTCAATGGGAAATTAAATTGATAGTTTTGGGAGATATCTGTAGAATTTAATCTCAGACAGGCAACAGGCAATATCTACGTTGGGAACAATAAGGGCATTGATACCAAGAATTTCAATTGGTATTGAAAGGAATCAATTTTTACAGCTATAAACAAATGTGAATGAATATAGATACCAATCCCTATAGATAGCTATGGATATATCTAGATCTATGGAGGATTTCTTAGCTTTCCTTAAAAAAATGATTTTGCTTTCAGTGGGCACTGGCACAGGTTGACATTAATGCCACATAAGCACAAGGCATGTCAAAGGCAATTGACCAACAATTCAGAGGATTAAGGGCATATGCTTTTTCATAATTATCAATATTGATGGGCTTTGATCCCTAGTGACAGCCTTCAATAGCTGTGAAATGCCAGAGGCATCTCTGACTTTTGATCTTGGACTGCTGTGACTCTTGGAATACACCAATGACTGCTCAGTGCCAACTAGTACCTCCCACTGCCGCTCTTGAGTGGCATATAGACTAGGAACCTTGATTGTTAACAGGGTAGTGAAACCATGAGCAGTATAGATTTAAGCATGTATGGCTAGGGACATTACATGCACATAACACTCCCACAAGATTGGGACCTAATTTCTTAACTTGCGATCTCAAGACCACCATAAAACCCACCATTTGGGCCATGTGGCTCTTGTCAGGCATCGCCCAGTACCGATCACCACAACTTGTTTCGGAGAGCAGGTTGTTAAGGCCTCTAAGCCATATCACCTCTGGAGACCAATGGATATCGAAAGGAGTAGACAGTTATTTCCAACACCTTGTATCAATCATGATATATATAGCTCTACGTAATGATAACACCCTTCCGCCCATGATAACGCTATTTTGGGAATGACACCCAGCAAAACTTAAATTTCTCTTCCTATGTAGTAGTAAGAGAGACTAGAGATTACAAAATGAAGAAGACATTTCTTACTAACACGATAAGTGCTCCCAGCACAGCTCTCTTGGCACCGCTTGGCTTCTTTTGGCAGTCTCTTTCCACATCCGCTAAAACGCTGCCTCTACGCTCCCTCCTTCTCTCAACCCTAAACCAAGCCCTAATAGGAATAAAGCTTTTGAGGGCTGTATTCACACAAGGAACCATTTTGTGACCCTCACCAAAAAGTGCTGCAGGCACAGCTTTCTTGACGCCGCTTTGCTTCCTTTTGGGTCTGCATTCAACACCCACTTCAACGCTGCCTCTATGCTCTCTCCATCTCTCAACCCTAACCCTAACCCTAAT